TGTGGAGAGTACACCGAGCCCATCAGCCGCCCGCGGGCTCTCAGGCCCCCTGCTCTGTAAAGCCCCTGAGGGGCTGGCCGACGTTGCTCACTTTTTCTAAAAAGCGGATTAATTTTGTGTGCGGGTAATGGCAAATAATTTCTGTGAATTTGTCCATACCTTTTAAAAAAGAAAAGTTCAGTTGTCAGCAGGATCTCTTGCGTACAGCAGTTTTAGACAGCGTGCAGGCAGAGAGCTTGTTTGGTTCCCTCAGGGTGTGTGGCCTGGGTATCTAGGGAAGAGAAGCACTGGTTCAGAGCACTGGTTTCTATTTAGGAAGTGAGGAGAGCTCTTCCAGGACTGTTTGTACCTTTCTTGGCTGGTTTGGACTCTGCCAAGCAACCCTGCTCTTTCGCTTCCCTTGGGTGGAGGTCCTGCAGTTTAGTGCATCTGTCCTTGATGTTTGGTTTGGTTTGTTTTGTTTCCCTTGAAATTTGAGTTTAGGGTCTGAAATAGAAGGGAATATATGTTTTATTTGATACGTCCCATCCATCTCAACTCTACATGTAGGATAGGGAAGAACTGCATTTCATTTAACTGCCCAATACTTGGGCCTAGCTGTTTCATCTGCTCAAGTATCTGTTTACTTTTCAATTTTTATAACTGCTTTGCAGAGCACTGATAGAGACACTTCCTATTAAAAAGATTTTTGAACCATTATAATAGAATTTGGTAGCTTGAGGCCTAGTGATGAAGTTTGTATAAAAGACAGACTGCAACTGCTAGATCACCACTAGGGGAGTAGTAACATCTGGTTAGAAAATGAGACTTCAGCTGAAGTTCATGACGTAAATGACTAGGTTAGTTAGGTTGATATAAAGAAGCTTCCAGAAAAATATACTTGACTGCTCAGTCCTATAGAGCAAGGAAGGGCTGGATATACTAGAATTTTGTTAGAGCATAATCCAACAGACTGTGTGTACTCACAGGAGCTGTGTGTGCCAATGATGCGTTATTAGTTCTCAAGCACTACTCTTGGAATAATGCTTTTCATTTCTGCTGGTTTACGTGGATATAATTGTGATGAGTATTCAACAGATCTGAAGGTGGAGAGCATCTTTACAGCAGCTTTGTAAAAGGCTTTAAGGCAGTATTTTTCTACAACATGCGCTGGAAGTGTCCCAAAATTAAGAGAATGAGCTTCATTAAGTCCTGTAGCATTATTCTGACACAAAATGTTACTGTCTTATTTTGCCCCTCAACAAGGAGAACAGCATCTATATTGTCCATATGGCATCTAGTTGGCCATATTGTCAATGTGAAACAGGGAAAAAAGGCAAAATTAGCCCTTGGCATTACCTTTCTGCGAGATTTTTGAATACTGACTTTAACTTTGAATGCTAACTAGCTTGTTAGTCTCTTGAAGAGTGTCCTGGATAGTAGTAAATGAAGTTTACTTCCATGTTGATTGTTTTCCTGGCCGAGTTGGCTGTTGACTTTGGATTAATATGATGTTGATTTGTTCAGCATGTATACATAGTTTTATAGCATCAGTAAGATATTGTGCAAGCCTGGAGTTCCATTTTCATTTGATTTATAGATTTCCTGCCTGGAATTAATGTGGTTGTACATGTAAGAAGAACTGAATGAATTTAACAGGGAGTAATGAACAGAAGTCATCCAGCCAAAACAAGTTAAAAACTCTGAAAGGGAGATGTGTGTCACTTGGTTCTGTGACAATATTCTGCCTCAAGCAAGCAGGTGGAAGAGAAGAAAAGCCAAACTGTGCTTTCATTCACAAGGTCAGTTTTTCGATTGAGAATGAACATAGTGTGACATAGCATTCTGTAGTAAGGCTGTGAAGGCTTCACGCTGATCTGTCCTATCACAGGCTTCCAGGGAAAGTTGCATGTTTCAGCAGAATTATAAAAGTTATTTCTAGTCCCAGTTTCTCATCCTGAGAGGTCCTCCATTCTGGAAGAGTGTCTGCTACAGTAGATGTCTGCAGCAGGTTTGCTAGAAATCACCATATACTGACAGTTATGTCTGGCGATGAATTAAATTAAGTGCCTCTGTTTTTGTCTGCAATAAGGTTTTACTGATCTAGCTAGATCATCATGGAATACCATATTTTTACACTCCTACTCAAAATGGCTGTGGTGGCAAGCCTGCTGTTTATTTTAACTAGGAGAAGTGAGAAGATTGTTTTTTCTAGAGGACAAGTAAGAGTAGAAGATAAAAGGATCTCTTCTACATGCATATTTAAGATATCTTTAAATTTCTTGCAGAGATCCTCAGGTTCTGAATCAGAATTTTAATGTAGTGAATGGTTTTCAATTAACTGCAGATTGGAAGGAATATGTCAGCAGGTGAAAGGAACTTTTGGGTACCCAATTTGATTAACCTAGTAGCTCCCAAATCCCCCAAAGATGAAATATTTTTAAATGGTATTATATTTAAATGTCTTCCCTCTGACTTCTCTCCCTCTCCCCCCTGAAAAAGGAAAAAGAAAGAAAAAATTTTGATGAGACACCAAAAACTGGAGTTACTAATGCATTTCTCTTGGGGTGAATTCTGACATCACTGTCTTGCAAAGTATTCCATGCAAATGTGTTCAGGAATTGCTATAAGAATATTTTGGGTTGAAAAATAGAGAGTACTCTCTTAATCAGCCTTCTTTACAAACTCATAGATCTAATTTTAACTTTTTTTCTGCTTCCTAACCTCTGGTAAATATTAACGTTTGGGTTTTTTTTTCCTATTTCAATACTTAATGAATGAAAAAAGTGTTAAAAAAATACACCTGCAGGACTATGTCTGTTTTTCGGCCCTTTTCAAACTTCTGTTTGTATACTCTGAGAATTGTCTGCCCCTTTGTGCATCCTAACCAGAAGCTACAGGAGTAGCAGCAATGGCTGTGTGTGGACACGTGCTGCAGGTCAGGAAGCAGGTAAGTTCTTCCTCTTGGTTTATGTAAAGTCTGCTGAAAGATTTTCTGTCACCTTGAATCAGCTTGTTGAGTGACTAACAACTGAATTTTGCTTATGAAACTGATGTAGAATAATGCTTGGAGAATCATCAAGTGATACAAAACTAATGGGAACGTACAGAGAAGGAAAAATATTTCCAGAATTAATTCCTTCTCCAGCCAGAAGGTTCTGACCTTTTCCCTGGCACTGTCCATGCTCTGCGATGAATATTATTGCAGACCTTGAGGCTGTTGTTCTGCTGCATCCAGAAATGCTGGATGTTACGCAAAACAAGTGCAAATTCTGGTATGTTGCCAGATAAGTGCATTGTGTGATAGTGACGCAGGCTGTGATGTCTGTTTCTAAATTGAGGAACTTGTTAACGCAGTAGAAGACAGTAATTAAAAGTGTCTTCAAGGTGTAGGATCAGTCACTCATGCACACTACTGGAACAGAGAAAGTTTGAGACGTGGTGTTAGCGACCACGATCATCATGTAAACCAAGGAATACATTTCACACCTCCGAAAGAAGGAATTGCTTTCCTTTTGTCTGAATGAATTTCTAATGTACATGGAAGTGTGTGCTACATGAAACACAAGTCAAGACTTCAGATTCCTAGTTTTCTTTTCAATGTGACACCATATCAGT